TTTTAGACTGCACACTCAGAAACACAAGTACTGTATGTTTTTAAATTGAATCTGTTGTTATTTGAAATTTTTTAAACAGAAGAAATGCTATATAAAATTCTTTCAAGTCAGAACTGGTCTGAAATTGCAAAATATTATACATACAGGGCCTTCTGCTCTTGGCCTATGAACAATAATAGTTACACCTACTCTAATCCATGAGAATCAAAAAGTCACAGGTAGACAATATTATTTGCAAGTAAAATAGACAAGTCAATGGAGTCAGAGTCGTTTTTAAAAAGTCATGCCATACTGCCATGGATGACCAACAAAGATAAGAGAAAACAATCCCTCATCATTTCCTAGGCAATGCACCGTTCTTAAAGGATAGCTAATTTTAAATCTTAGTGGAATTTCTCTCATTCTTTGGTGTGCAATAGTTGGTTCCTTTTGTTTTAGTTTTACACTGTCTTATTCATGCTTCCACATGCTATCATTCATCAAACGCTCCAGCCTGCTAGCAGCAAGCTCATAGTTTTAAGAAAACCTTAAACCAGAGAATGTTTTTAGAATTACTGGTAAGCTTTTCAGGGCATGTCTAGTAATGAATATTCACATTGCAAGATATATGCTTTGATGAAAAGGCCACACAATATTGCAATTAGACTTTGACAGTCTCTAGCAGACTAGCCTCCTTCTGCACTGTTCTGAACATCAAGGCTCAGACATCTTGGGAGTGTAAACAAAGCTTACAATTATGCTAAATTTTCATTAATCAATTTCAATTGCATGGATTTCTTTGCTTAGGTATGATGAGCACAACAGCCTCGCTTGGGCTCATTTTATTGTGGGATGTCGACGCTGGACTCACCCAAATCGATAAATATCTATATTCAACTGAAGACTATATCAAGGTATTGTCATGTGTTATTAGCATGTTAAGTGATATATCAAACACGATAGATCATGTTTGAATACATTCCAAATACTGCGAAGAGAGTTGAAAATATGACGCGCAGCAGAGTGTTTTTAATGAGCTTGGAAGTGTTTGGAAATTTGGTCAAACACTGTCTTGAGTGTTTGAGACATCTCCTGAACCAAGACTAAAACTAAGAAGAAAATGGAGAAATAAAATCTTAATATCAAGCATCCTTGACTGTGGATCAAGCAAATTTAGTTTTATCAAGCAGTTTGATAAATGTGAATTGGCCACCGTAAAGAAATTTGAAAGCTGACGTTTCGAGCGTTAGCTCTTTGTCGAATCAATCAGCATTAGCCCTTTGTCGAATCAATTCGCTCCGTCGAAGGGCTAACGCTCAAAACATCAGCTTTCGAATATCTTTATGGTGGCCAATTCACATTATCAACCCAGTTGATAAAAGCAAATTATCTTGTTATACTCACCACCAATGCAGCACCACAGTTTCTGTAGAAACTTACCCCCTCTATTCATTTGTGAATCAAGCAGTCTGGGTTCAATCCCTAGGAAGGGGTGGATTGGAAAGAAGTTTGTTGTGTCCCCAGGCAGGATGCTCTACTCCCATAGTACCTCTCTCCACCCAGGTGTTAAATGACTACTGGTAAAGTGAAGCAATGGCCTAGCATCTCATTCAGGGGGAGTAGAAATACTTCTAGTCACTTTATGCCGTAGAAACCAGAGATAAGCACCAGCCTGATGGGCCACTAGGCTTGAACAGAGACTAACATAAAAGTACATCTGCATCTAGTGACAGCTGTAGTGGGAAGTACAAGAGTCCTTATAAACACTGTACATCAGTGCATTATTTGCAAACAGAAGCATGGTTTTGTCATCAATGTTTTATAGACCTTTGCGTGCTTTTCCTTCAATTCAAAATGTTTTGTTTCTACTTTGTTAGTGCAGTTTGCCACTGATCATAACAATCAGTAAGTATGGTTTTCTTTGTATAGTGTGTAATAAAGTGACCTGGCTTGTCTTTGTTTGTAGGCTGGTGCCTTGTTGGCTTGTGGTATTGTAAACTCTGGAGTGAGAAATGAATGTGACCCAGCACTTGCTTTGCTATCAGATTATGTTCTGCACAACAACAATATCATGAGGCTTGGGTCTGTAGTGGGGTAAGTGACTGCTTCAAATCTCTGATAAGTGGACATGAGAATGAATGAGAATAAACCAAAAGCGGTCAGGAGAAAGGTATCCACAGTTGTATAGCAAATGTGACTTTATTACTGGAGTAAAACATCCTTCCTTGTGGCTGCCAGTTTCTAAACATCTGAAGAAGGTATCAAAGATAGTAGTCCAAAAAACATTTATAGCTTCTTGTTTTTTGACATGAAGAAAAAATAAATAAATAAATAATAAACTTTTGTGGGGCACACACAATTACCAGTGTCCTAGTGCTTAACATTGTGACCCTGAAATAAACAAATATCGTAAATAAACAGAAACTTGTTAAAAATCCTGAATGGTTGTAAGCAGATCATTAGGCTATAATTATACAGAAGAAGCAATAAAGAAGCTGCAATAAATTAGTATAGAAAGTTTAATATTAATCAATTGAACTGTGTGAACCTTCTATTTCCAGGCTTGGTCTAGCTTATGCTGGTTCCAACAGACAAGATGTGTTGTCTCTAATTCTTCCTGTTCTGGGTGACCCCAAGTCGAACTTGGAGGTGAGAGTCCTTATTCTGGAACTTTGACGTGTTTAGGACGTAATTTAGGTAGAAATTCAGAAAATATGTATGTTTGTGTGTAGGAGATTCAAATGTTATTGGACAAGAACCAATGGGCTTTCACTCATGTTAAGATCTTTATCACCTTCAAGTAAAGTAATTTTTCCATGAGCCAAATTGAAAAGGGGTATTAAAAAATACAATTGAACCTCCAGCTGCAACCACTTCTCGTAAGCGACCACCTCTCCTCAACAACCAGTTTTCCAAAATACCAAAAGTTTCCAAGTCAAATCACCATATTTGGAACCTCTCGTAAGCGACCGCAACCACTTTTAGAGCTGAAAGTTTGATTCAAATTTTCGTTTGTTTTATTGCAAGTGACCCCTGACAGATAAGAGAGCGGAAATTGGATAATATGATGTTGTAGTATTATCATATTCCTGGGGAGTACAAGTTTCTTCTTAGTTTCTCGAAATTGACTTTTCACTTGTCAATGATAAAACATTTCATCGGCCTTGGCGCATGGGGTAAATCTCTGCAGTTACCATGATATTCTAATGAGGCAAAAGTTTGCCTCATTAGAATGGTCTAAGCTATCGTATGCGACCACCTCCCGTAAGTGACCACCTCTAGAGGCTTGACATTTTGGGTGGTCGCTTACAGGAGGTTCCTCTGCACTATGCTCGCAATTAAATTTTGGGTGTTTGTTTTTTGGGGCTAAAAAGGTGTTAAAACTTCCTTGCCAAAACGTAACTCCTTGCGTGTGCCACATAACTGGAATGCCCGAGAGATTGCCTCACAAGAAAAATATGTCTGGAATTTTGGCCAAATTTGGGTACTGTAATATCATGCCTGTTTAGTCTCTCCGTGGGTAATTTGGCTCATTATGTCTGGCTAATGTACGAACCATGGCTAGACCAAACTCAGCTAATATTGATATAAATGTCAGGACAGTAGACACTGCTTCTGATTGCCTAATTGTGAAGTTGGGCATGGTAGGAGCATTGCAAAGTAGAAACTTGAGTTAAAGTGCTTTCCAAAACATTTTGTTTTGCAGGTGATTGGTATGGCAGGCATTGCCTGTGGTTTGGTTGCCATAGGAACATGTAATGGTGAGGTGACATCAACCATACTTCAAACAATGATGGAACGTTCTGAGACTGAAGTCAAAGAAACAAATGCTCGTAATTTAGCCTTGGGGCTTGGCTTAACATTCCTAGGTAAGATATGTTTCTTATTCACCTTTCCAGCTTAAAAGTTGAAATATTTAAATCTCCTTTCTGATTGCAGCAATTTGTTGTTGTTGTTGTTGATGATGATGTTGAAATCAAGCCATGCTGTAAACTTCGCTTTTAAAATATCCCTTGTAGTAATTAACAGGTAGCGTGTTTTGTTCTGTTTCTTTCTGCTTTTAGAGGACCAATGACTCTGAAGAGATCAACTTTGGTGATTAGTCAATTACACAGGTCTTGTTCAATATATGATGGTTAATGTTTTTTTTTTTTTAAATAGGGAAACAAGAAGCAGCAGAAGCTACTTTAGAAGCTTTGAAAGTTGTTCCAGAACCTCTTGGAAAGTGGGCTTCCATCTTAGTTGAAATTTGCGCATATGCTGGTAAGGAATACATGTAAACTATGTACATCTAGTCAGGAGTTTTTGTGTGCTGGGTTGAAAGGAGTCGATGATGATTGTTACTGTTGGTAGTGGATTCCAAATCAAAACTTCTCCTGGCCTAGGTGGTTGTGTTGTTTTCCTGGGAAAGACCCAACTCTCAAAGTGTTTCCTTTCACCCAGAAATATAAATAGTCCCAGCAAACTGTAGAGAAAAATGTTTGTAGTGGGTGTTAGCTGTGATGGACTAGTAATAATTCTTCTATAAAATCACTTCAAAAATCCATGTCACTATTAGTAACTTAATCTGTCTGATCTGCACACTCCCCTTAAGTATTGGGGTTAACCAGCCCTTTGAAACAACACTCCGGCAATTTTGCTGCCTACGGTAAGTTATTTGCTTCCTTACTCATTCTCAAGTTCAGAAATCCTAGTTGACAGATCCATCTCTAGCCTTAACTGCTTACTACATTGTATTTTTGTTATCATGCTTGTCACTACGAGGCATTTTGACAGAGCTGGTCAACTGATTCAGATCCTCATTTTACTCCCATCAGGAACTGGAAATGTCCTCAAAATTCAGGAAATGCTGCACATCTGTAGCGAACACTTTGAACAGAAGGATGATGAAGAAAAAGACAAAGATTCTAAAGACAAAGATTCCAAGGACAAGGACAAAGACAAGAAAGAAGCTGAGAAGTCAGATGACGGCAGTCATCAGGGTGTGGCTGTACTAGGGATTGCTTTAGTAGCCATGGGTGAGGAGATCGGTGCTCAGATGGCACTCAGAACATGCAATCATCTGGTAAGTAAATATACCCAAAAATTTCAAAATGGAACTAAAACCCTACCCAGGTTAAAAAGTGTTACGATGATTGTTAATATGATGAGTCCTAAGACTGTAAGTGATCCCTTAGTGTGCGACCATTCAAATGGGAGCTATTGAGGTCAAAATGCCTTGAAATGGAGTTAAAGAAAGTTTGCTAAAATTAATGTGTTTTGTGGTTATCTCAGAGTGTAAAAGTTTTGTTTGCAACTCAAGATTTATTTCATGGTGGATCTGTTTGTTGTATTTCAGCTGCAGTATGGTGAACCTGTGATACGTCGAGCGGTGCCCCTAGCTCTTGCTATCTTATCAGCCTCAAATCCCCAACTGAGTATAATTGACACTCTCAGCAAGTTGTCTCATGACAATGATGCAGAAGTGTCACACAACTCCATCTTTGCCATGGGGATTGTTGGTGCAGGTCAGTAGACACTAGTGAGAGACCATGTCATGGCAGAGAATACAGAGTTCTTATGGGAATACTGATTGTTACTTTTTCAGTGTTGATTTCTAACTCTGTATGTGATATTTCACAGTTTTTATAATGTAACATTCTTGCAAACTATTTATTTTTGTATAAGGTCTTAAACTATGCTGAGAATTGAAAAGATGCATTGAGTTTCAGGTCCTTTGTTTCAATGCACTAAGTTTTAAGTCCAGGTCTTTTGCATGGTAAAGAAATCAATGTTTTTTCAGGGTGGTCAAAAGTAGCTGGGTGCCTGTGAAGATCACCATCTACCTCACGTTCTCTGTTGGCCACTGTAAATGCTATTCACCTTATTCTAGTAACATACGTGTATGGCAGATTCAGCTGCAGGCCTACTCCGACAATAATGTCATTTACTTTAAAACTTTGCGACAACCCAGTTTCTGAGCCCTCTTTTTCTTGAAAATTAATCACAATTGATGAGAAGTGAGAAATATTTGAGAGAGCTGTTTTCTTCATTTTTACACGTACCTTAAATTTCAAAGGGTAAAAAAGTAAACATTCCCTTCTGCTAGCTTTGCAAGAAACTTATTCTGTTGCAAAGAAATTTAAATGCCCAGGCATTATTAATGGTGTTAAATTCATCTGGTACAGGAACCAACAATGCCAGACTTGGAGGAATGCTTCGGCAACTGGCCATGTACTACCACAAAGATGCAAACAACCTGTTTATGGTGCGACTTGCACAGGTGAGGTTTGGTAGAAGAAAAAGAATGTACACTCTGAAAGTTGGCATATCCACATTGCACTAAGAGATTTAAAACAAGACTTGTTGATTAGCAATGTCTGACAGTAACTGCTGACTCCATTACAGCCAATAAAGAGAAAATAAATGTGATTTTGCCTGCACATTGACTAAAATGTTTTTCAAAATTCACTGTGAAACAGGGGATTTCTTCTGTTTGAAGTTTGCATTATACCCAGATTTGCTACTCCGACAGATAACTAAAAAATAGAATTGAGGCATTTATATTATAACTAAAGAAATACTAACAAATGGCCGGACTTAAGTTTGAAAGCATTCAAACATCCCAATTTTTTATTTATTTATTTTTTTACTTTGCACTGGTATTTATAACTCTATATGCAGGCATACCATATGTTTAGATTAGCTATCAGAATATGAAATTTAAAGCTGGGCAATTAATACTCTTAAATTAATGTCACGCAAATCCCTTCGCAGTTCTTAAGATTTTTGTGGCAATGAACTGGTAAATGCCATTTGTGTTATTACAAATGAAGCTAATTTTTGTACGATTCCTGTGATTAGGGATTAGTTCACCTTGGTAAGGGTACATTAACACTTGGTCCTTATCATTGTGATCGTTCTTTGATGATGCCTGTAGCAGTTGGTGGCCTGTTGTCTGTTCTTGTCTCATTCTTGGATGTAAAGAATGGTAGGTGTGCTTATTAATTTTGTTGCACTTGGATGTAAGATGGCCCAGTACAGCTGATTCGAGAAAGGTTGTTCTACTGAAGCCTAAAAGTGTATGCGACATTGTCGAAAGTAGAAAGAAACAGCACAAAAACAGATATTCATGCTTTCTCTTTCCTTCTTGCTTTAAACTCCAGGAGTCTCAATCAAACAATACCAAACTATTGCTGCTCATAAAACCAAGTGGCATTGTTGCATACGCTTTCACACTTTCACAGGACAACCTTTCTGGAAAGAGCTGAATTTTTGCCCTTATTCAGCCAGAGATATTTTCAGGTCATTTGTGTGTGGTTTAAGGATCTAATCAAACTCATTGTCGTGTACACGATATGTAAGAAATATAAAAATTCCAACATTTTGTTTTTCAAGATTCATTTCATTCTCAAAGATCATCACATAATTATAAAGCAGTAATTGGCATCACCAATATGGATACGGCTTGCCAAGATATAACACATGTTTTGATTGGCCAATAGTCAGTAGTAATTAGTCCATGTCGGGCGATATTCCTCCAGTACAGCCCTTGTGCTTNAGCTCAATGACATCGGTTCCAAAACCTTTGAAATACCTTAGACCACACTTCTCTACTCTGAAAGATATTTGTGACAAGTGGGGAGATGGTGAAAATAAAGTAAGTTATTGTATTACTGTTCAATAATTTATATTCCTCTAATACATGGATATATACATGTATGTGTCCCATTGTAATAATTATTCCCAGGCTTTTTTTTTTTCAGCTTAAAAACTTAAATTAGATTATTACACCAAACTTCTATTAAGATCTTTTGAAACTAGTCAAAATTTGGGGGATTATTGATGGCTATTCCTAATAACAGTCTCAGACAGGCTGTATGAGAGTGGAACTTTGACTTGGAAATAGTATGCATTTAATATTTAATAATCTACCTTCTTCCCTTGCCTGAAGCTTGTGTTCCCATGTGTTTCTCATACGCCCAAATGTTGCTTGTGTTTTCTATCATTATATACATGTATATGTATTTAGTTTACGCTCAGATATTAGTGTTCAAACAGCAAATAAAATTAATGTTCTCATCAGTCAGAATAGAAGCTGGAAATACATGCAACTGTACCTTGTGCTGTCACTACTTTGTTGATTGGATATGGATTGGAAGAGACTTGATATCAGCGATGTGGAGAACACATTACAGTATATTTAATACTAAATATATATTTTCCTTCTTTGAATTTTAGAGATTCTTGGCAGACATTATCTCAGTTCTTGGCATGACAATCAGTGAGGGCCGTGAGTGTCTGAAATTCAGAATGCTAGGATCTAAAGAAGAGCTTGAATCATGGGGCCATGAATATGTCAGGTAAGTGTTTTTAAAGTGTTCAATTTGCTTTCATCATAAGCTTACCATCCTCTGTTTGTGTGCTCACAGGAATCCATGGAACTGAGATTATTTTAAAAAATGTTCTGACAGTAATTTTATGTCCATTTGTCTAGAATCAAATGATTTAATAATATTTNCAACAGACAAGATGTGTTGTCTCTAATTCTTCCTGTTCTGGGTGACCCCAAGTCGAACTTGGAGGTGAGATTCCTTATTCTTGAACTTTGACATGTTTAGGACATAATTTAGTTAGAAATTCAGAAAATATGGATGTTTATGTGTAGGAGATTCAAATTTTATTGGACAACAACCAATAGGCTTTCACTTATGTTAGTATCTTTGTCACTTTCAAGTAAAGTAATTTTTCCATGAGCCAAATTGAAAAGGGGTATTGAAAAATACAATTGAACCTCCAGTTGTGAACACTTCTCATAGGCGACCACCTCTCCTCAACAACCAGTTTTCCAAAATAGCAAAAGTTTCTAAGTCAAATCACCATATTTGGAACCTCTCGTAAGCAACCGCAACCACTTTTAGAGCTGAAAGTTTGATTCAAATTTTGTTTTGTTTTATTGCAAGCGACCCCTGACGGATAAGAGAGCGGAAATTGGATAATATGATGTTGTAGTATTAACGTATTCCTGGGAAGTACAAGTTTCTTCTTAGTTTCTTGAAATTGACTTTTCACTTGTCAATGATAAAACATTTCATCGGCCTTGGTGCATGGGGTAAATCTCTGTAGTTACCATGATATTCTAATTAGGCAAATTTTGCCTCATTAGAACTTTCTAAGCTCTCATATGCGACCACCTCCTGTAAGTGACAACCTCTAGAGGCTTGACATTTTGGGTGGTCGCTTACAGAAGGTTCCTCTGCACTATGCTTGCAATTGAATTTTGGGTGTTTGTTTTTTGGGGCTAAAAGGGTGTTGAAACTTCCTTGCCAAAACTTAACTCCTTGCGTGTGCCACATAACTGGAATGCCTGAGAGATTGCCACAATGAGAAAAATATGCCTGGAATTTTGGCCAAATTTGGGTACACATGTACTGTAATATCATGCTTGTTTAGTCTCTCCATGGGTAATTTGGCTCATTATGTCTGGCTGATGTACAAACCATGGCTAGACCAAACTCGGCTAATATTGATATAAATGTCAGGACAGTAGACACTGCTTCTGATTGGCTAATTGTGAAGTTGGACATGGTACAAGCATTTTAAAGTAGAAACTTGAGTTAAAGTGCTTTCCAAAATGTTGTTTTGCAGGTGATTGGTATGGCAGGCATTGCCTGTGGTTTGGTTGCCATAGGAACATGTAACGGTGAGGTGACATCAACCATACTTCAAACAATGATGGAACGTTCTGAGACTGAAGTCAAAGAAACAAATGCTCGTAATTTAGCCTTGGGGCTTGGCTTAACATTCTTAGGTAAGATATGTTTCTTATTCACCTTTCCAGCTTAAAAGTTGAAATATTTAAATGTCCTCTCTGATTGCCGCAATTTTTTTGTTGTTGTTTTTGAAAGCCATGCTGTAAACTTCACTTTTAAAATATTCCTCGTTCTAATTAACAGTTAGCATGCTTTGTTTTGTTTCTTTTCACTTTTAGTGGACCTATGACACTGAAGTTGAGATCATTTTGGTGATTAGTCAATTATACAGGTCTTGTTCCACATTATGAAGGTTAATTTTTGTTTTCAATAGGGAAACAAGAAGCAGCAGAAGCTACTTTAGAAGCTTTGAAAGTTGTTCCTGAACCTCTTGGAAAGTGGGCTTCCATCTTAGTTGAAATTTGCGCATATGCTGGTAAGGAATACATGTAAACGAGGTACATCTAGTCAGGAGTTTTTGTGTACTGGGTTGAAAGGAGTCAATGATGATTATAACTGTTATTATTGGATTCCAAATTAAAATGTCTCCTGGCCTAGGGGGTTGTGTTGTGTTCCCAGGAAAGACCCAACTCTCAAAGTGTTTCCTTTCACCCAGAGATATAAATACATGTAGTCCCAGCAACCTGTAGATAAAAATGTTCTTTGTGGGTGTTAGCTGTGATGGACTAGTAATAATTCTTCGATAAAATCACTTCAAAATCCATGTCACTACTAGTGACTTAATCTGTCTGATCTGCACACTCCCCTTAAGTATTGGGGTTAACCAGCCCTTTGAAACAACACTCTGGCAATTTTGCTTCCCACGGTAAGTTATTTGCTTCCTTACTCATTCTAAAGTTCAGAAATCCTAGTTGACAGATCCATCTCTAGCCTTAACTGCTTGCTACATTGTATTTTTGTTATCATGCTTGTCACTGCAAGGCATTTTGACAGAGCTGGTCATCTGATTCAGATTTTTATTTTACACCCTTAAGGGACTGGAAATGTCCTCAAAATTCAGGAAATGCTGCACATCTGTAGTGAACACTTTGAACAGAAGGATGATGAAGAAAAAGACAAAGATTCTAAAGACAAAGATTCCAAGGACAAGGACAAAGACAAGAAAGAAGCTGAGAAGTCAGATGACGGCAGTCATCAGGGTGTGGCTGTACTAGGGATTGCTTTAGTAGCCATGGGTGAGGAGATCGGTGCTCAGATGGCACTCAGAACATGCAATCATCTGGTAAGTAAATATACCCAAAAATTTCAAAATGGAACTAAAACCCTACCCAGGTTAAAAAGTGTTACGATGNAACCTCTTGGAAAGTGGGCTTCCATCTTAGTTGAAATTTGCGCATATGCTGGTAAGGAATACATGTAAACTATGTACATCTAGTCAGGAGTTTTTGTGTGCTGGGTTGAAAGGAGTCGATGATGATTGTTACTGTTGGTAGTGGATTCCAAATCAAAACTTCTCCTGGCCTAGGTGGTTGTGTTGTTTTCCTGGGAAAGACCCAACTCTCAAAGTGTTTCCTTTCACCCAGAAATATAAATAGTCCCAGCAAACTGTAGAGAAAAATGTTTGTAGTGGGTGTTAGCTGTGATGGACTAGTAATAATTCTTCTATAAAATCACTTCAAAAATCCATGTCACTATTAGTAACTTAATCTGTCTGATCTGCACACTCCCCTTAAGTATTGGGGTTAACCAGCCCTTTGAAACAACACTCCGGCAATTTTGCTGCCTACGGTAAGTTATTTGCTTCCTTACTCATTCTCAAGTTCAGAAATCCTAGTTGACAGATCCATCTCTAGCCTTAACTGCTTACTACATTGTATTTTTGTTATCATGCTTGTCACTACGAGGCATTTTGACAGAGCTGGTCAACTGATTCAGATCCTCATTTTACTCCCATCAGGAACTGGAAATGTCCTCAAAATTCAGGAAATGCTGCACATCTGTAGCGAACACTTTGAACAGAAGGATGATGAAGAAAAAGACAAAGATTCTAAAGACAAAGATTCCAAGGACAAGGACAAAGACAAGAAAGAAGCTGAGAAGTCAGATGACGGCAGTCATCAGGGTGTGGCTGTACTAGGGATTGCTTTAGTAGCCATGGGTGAGGAGATCGGTGCTCAGATGGCACTCAGAACATGCAATCATCTGGTAAGTAAATATACCCAAAAATTTCAAAATGGAACTAAAACCCTACCCAGGTTAAAAAGTGTTACGATGATTGTTAATATGATGAGTCCTAAGACTGTAAGTGATCCCTTAGTGTGCGACCATTCAAATGGGAGCTATTGAGGTCAAAATGCCTTGAAATGGAGTTAAAGAAAGTTTGCTAAAATTAATGTGTTTTGTGGTTATCTCAGAGTGTAAAAGTTTTGTTTGCAACTCAAGATTTATTTCATGGTGGATCTGTTTGTTGTATTTCAGCTGCAGTATGGTGAACCTGTGATACGTCGAGCGGTGCCCCTAGCTCTTGCTATCTTATCAGCCTCAAATCCCCAACTGAGTATAATTGACACTCTCAGCAAGTTGTCTCATGACAATGATGCAGAAGTGTCACACAACTCCATCTTTGCCATGGGGATTGTTGGTGCAGGTCAGTAGACACTAGTGAGAGACCATGTCATGGCAGAGAATACAGAGTTCTTATGGGAATACTGATTGTTACTTTTTCAGTGTTGATTTCTAACTCTGTATGTGATATTTCACAGTTTTTATAATGTAACATTCTTGCAAACTATTTATTTTTGTATAAGGTCTTAAACTATGCTGAGAATTGAAAAGATGCATTGAGTTTCAGGTCCTTTGTTTCAATGCACTAAGTTTTAAGTCCAGGTCTTTTGCATGGTAAAGAAATCAATGTTTTTTCAGGGTGGTCAAAAGTAGCTGGGTGCCTGTGAAGATCACCATCTACCTCACGTTCTCTGTTGGCCACTGTAAATGCTATTCACCTTATTCTAGTAACATACGTGTATGGCAGATTCAGCTGCAGGCCTACTCCGACAATAATGTCATTTACTTTAAAACTTTGCGACAACCCAGTTTCTGAGCCCTCTTTTTCTTGAAAATTAATCACAATTGATGAGAAGTGAGAAATATTTGAGAGAGCTGTTTTCTTCATTTTTACACGTACCTTAAATTTCAAAGGGTAAAAAAGTAAACATTCCCTTCTGCTAGCTTTGCAAGAAACTTATTCTGTTGCAAAGAAATTTAAATGCCCAGGCATTATTAATGGTGTTAAATTCATCTGGTACAGGAACCAACAATGCCAGACTTGGAGGAATGCTTCGGCAACTGGCCATGTACTACCACAAAGATGCAAACAACCTGTTTATGGTGCGACTTGCACAGGTGAGGTTTGGTAGAAGAAAAAGAATGTACACTCTGAAAGTTGGCATATCCACATTGCACTAAGAGATTTAAAACAAGACTTGTTGATTAGCAATGTCTGACAGTAACTGCTGACTCCATTACAGCCAATAAAGAGAAAATAAATGTGATTTTGCCTGCACATTGACTAAAATGTTTTTCAAAATTCACTGTGAAACAGGGGATTTCTTCTGTTTGAAGTTTGCATTATACCCAGATTTGCTACTCCGACAGATAACTAAAAAATAGAATTGAGGCATTTATATTATAACTAAAGAAATACTAACAAATGGCCGGACTTAAGTTTGAAAGCATTCAAACATCCCAATTTTTTATTTATTTATTTTTTTACTTTGCACTGGTATTTATAACTCTATATGCAGGCATACCATATGTTTAGATTAGCTATCAGAATATGAAATTTAAAGCTGGGCAATTAATACTCTTAAATTAATGTCACGCAAATCCCTTCGCAGTTCTTAAGATTTTTGTGGCAATGAACTGGTAAATGCCATTTGTGTTATTACAAATGAAGCTAATTTTTGTACGATTCCTGTGATTAGGGATTAGTTCACCTTGGTAAGGGTACATTAACACTTGGTCCTTATCATTGTGATCGTTCTTTGATGATGCCTGTAGCAGTTGGTGGCCTGTTGTCTGTTCTTGTCTCATTCTTGGATGTAAAGAATGGTAGGTGTGCTTATTAATTTTGTTGCACTTGGATGTAAGATGGCCCAGTACAGCTGATTCGAGAAAGGTTGTTCTACTGAAGCCTAAAAGTGTATGCGACATTGTCGAAAGTAGAAAGAAACAGCACAAAAACAGATATTCATGCTTTCTCTTTCCTTCTTGCTTTAAACTCCAGGAGTCTCAATCAAACAATACCAAACTATTGCTGCTCATAAAACCAAGTGGCATTGTTGCATACGCTTTCACACTTTCACAGGACAACCTTTCTGGAAAGAGCTGAATTTTTGCCCTTATTCAGCCAGAGATATTTTCAGGTCATTTGTGTGTGGTTTAAGGATCTAATCAAACTCATTGTCGTGTACACGATATGTAAGAAATATAAAAATTCCAACATTTTGTTTTTCAAGATTCATTTCATTCTCAAAGATCATCACATAATTATAAAGCAGTAATTGGCATCACCAATATGGATACGGCTTGCCAAGATATAACACATGTTTTGATTGGCCAATAGTCAGTAGTAATTAGTCCATGTCGGGCGATATTCCTCCAGTACAGCCCTTGTGCTTGGTTGATAAATGATTGACAGACGCTCNTTGCCAAGATATAACACATGTTTTGATTGGCCAATAGTCAGTAGTAATTAGTCCATGTCGGGCGATATTCCTCCAGTACAGCCCTTGTGCTTGGTTGATAAATGATTGACAGACGCTCTGTTAATAGCTTTGACTCAAGGTAGTGGCATACTCAGAAGGGTGAGGGAAATTCTGTGCAAAAATGAATCTCCCATATTTTACTCTCCATACTCTACATTCGTTCAGCAAGACTAGTGTTAAATTAAGTTTTTGAAAACTGCATTTTGTAGCTGGCAAAGTACTGTTAGTCTATTGCACTATTAAAATGATTTCCGCAGAACATTCGGGCAATAATGGCAAAAATTAAGTTACCAAAAAAACCTCATGGCATGGTATTATTTTGAATATAGTTAAGAAGAACCTATCTGGACTTGAGCTCTGAAGCTGATCCCGCGAGAGAAAATTGAACTTGAAGTTATCCATATTTCACCTGAAACAGACGTTTCGCGTTAGTTGAAAGCATAGTAACACGCGCTTTCAGCATTCTTACGAGGTTTGACATTAACTTTCTCCGGAGTACTGGAGAATTTAATCGCGGGGTCACTTAAAGAAATGAACTAAAGTGAATTGTTTTAGACAGTATTCCACATGTTCCAAGAGTTACTGTGCTATGAGGAGATTTTTAGTAAATAATTTTGCACCTATTGCTCGAACTTTGAGCGGAATCTGTCTTAATTATTTTATGCCCTAACTGAGCGAAATCTTCCATATTCTCATGACGATATTGTTTGTTTCAGTGATTCTTGGTAAATCACATTACGTTCTGTTTAATCTGGTGTCTGCCATGCAACCAAGAATGTTGGTGACATTTGACACTGATCTGCGTCCTTTGCCTGTCTCTGTGAGAGTTGGCCAGGTGAGTGAACTCTTTCAGCAGTTGTGATTCCTATCTCTTTTGTGACTAGTTATCACATATGTCGTTGAACAGATGTGATTCCATTACTGCTATTTAACATTGCTCACTTTACAGTTGTACAAAAAAGTGGTGCTTCTATAATTTTAGTTTTATTTTTAATTAGTCAAACATTGTGATGGAAACGCCCATAAAGTACAAAATTAATAGCACTCCGACATATTCAGTCTACTCGTGTGCCTGGTCCTCCCATACCCCTTGTTCACAAGCTGTGGAAACACTCACCTGTCCCCTGTCGACTCGCCTTCCCACAGCATTTCTCGTCCTCTCAAACTTCCACTCGTGTTTCTATTTAACAATTAGATTATGAGCTCGAGATTTCTATCGCGTGATAGTTGACGAGGGCGCACTATCACTCATAGAAATCGAGAGCGAATAATCTCATTGTTTTAGACAGGTATAAATCTACCAGTCGTTCAAAACTTTATCCAAATTCTCTCCACAGACACTTGGAAAATGCCAAGAAGTGGCCGTCATTTTGTTTACAAGGGCACACTGCTACGTTACTCATTATCTATCACAGAATGGATAGTGAGTAGCGTAGCAAATCAGAGAAGGGCATTTGTGATAGAACGCTAGTAGATTTATACTACAACACGATAGAAACACGGAGAACATGTCTTCTATTTGTTAATTAGAGGAAGGAAAGATTTCTTATTCAAGTGATATCATTGTGTTTCTTGCGGTCTTATTGCAGGCAGTTGATGTTGTGGGTCAAGCAGGAAAGCCCAAAACAATAACAGGATTTCAGACTCATACTACACCAGTGTTGCTTGCATATGGAGAAAGAGCAGAGTTAGCCACCGAGGAATGTATCCTTTGTAGTTTTGTCACAACAAACCTAATAGTAAATTGTTATTGTCTTTAACTGAAGTTAATTGGTAAGTAGCTTGCTGGATATTTCACCTTCATTTTGTCCTGAAGAATAATAATTATTGAATTGTGAGGTTTATATGGAGAATTACATTTTCCACAGGAAATATTTGAAATGTGTGCAAAAGATTTGAAGACGTGATAAATCGCTGCAGTTGTGAAGCAACTAGCGTTCATCACCTGAAAAAAAATTCTGGCTTGTAGGGGATTCAAACCCATGACCTTTGCAATACCGTTGCAGTGTCTTACCATCTGAGCTAACAAAATGCAAGTCAATTGGGAGCTGGTCAACCTTGTCCAGAAGAAATATTGCTTTCGTTGATGCCATATAATAAACCCTTGACCAAGCTTGTTGAGTCGAGATGACTGGATATTGCAGCCGTCTTTGCAGCTGGAGGTTTTGGGCTTTTTTTCAAGTGTGGGCGAGGGGGAAGGGGAAGAGAAATAAGAGTGTTTGGTGATTCAGGTTTGTGATAGAAAAGGGCGTGGTCAGTTTAGTATACAACTAAGAACACCTTTTGAGTTTTCCTGTTAAAGTTAATATTCATGGAGAATAGCAGTTTATACAATGAGGCCGACTAGCAGAAATCATTTTTTTTGCATTTCGGCGGCGCTAG